AGAGGGGTAAAAGGGATGGGAGAGTTGCATTATTGGTAAAGGAGTATCTCACAGCTGTACTGAGAGAAGATATATCAAAGGGCTCATGCAGCGAGGCAATATGGGTAGAACTCAGGAGTAGGAAAGGTGAAGTCACAATGCTGGGGGTATACTATAGGCCTCCCAACAGCCAGCAGGAGATAGAGGAGAGAATACGTAGACAGATTTTGGAAAGATGTAAAAAGATCAGGGTTGTTATGGTGGCGATTTTAACCTCTCTTATATTGACTGGGACTCTGTGCTGGGGCCTTGGATGGGGCAGAATTTGTAAGGACGATTAAGGAGGGATTCTTGACACAATATGTAAACAGTCTAACCAGGGAAGGGATTATACTGGACCTGGTTTTGGGAAATGAGCCCGGCCAGGTGAGGCAAGTTTTAGTGGGGGAAGCATTTTTGGGAGTGGTGACCATAATACCGTGGTTTTAAGATACTCATGGATAGGGATAACAACGGTCCTCAGGTGAAGGTGTTAAATTGGGGGAAGGCGAACTACAACAATATTAGGCAGGAACTGGAGAATTTTAATTGGAGGCCTCTGTTTGAGGATAAATCTACATCAGGCATGTGGGAGCATTTCAAACAGCAGCTGATAAGAGTTCAGGAGCGGCACGTTCCTACGAGAACGAAAGATAGGTACAGCAAGTTACGTTAAACCTTGGATGAGCAGGGATGTTATGACCTTCTTCAGAAAAAGGAAGAACATACACAAGGTCTAGGAAGATGGGAAGTGATGAAGCCCTTAAAGTATGTAAGGCAAGTAGAAAAGAACTTAAACGAGGAATTAGATGGGCTAAAAGGGGTCACGAAAAGTCATTAGCAAACAGGATTACGGAGAATCCCTCGGCTTTTTATACATGTATAAAAAGCAACACGTAGCCAGGGAAAAGATTGGCCCACTCAAGGACGAAGGAGGAAATCTGTGTGTGGAGCCAGAAGAGGTAGGTGAGGTCCTAAATAAATACTGTGTGTCTGTATTCACCAAAGAGAAGGAATTGGTAGAGGATGATCTCAGGGAAGGGACTGTCAAGTTTCTAAGCCAAGTTGCTATTAAAAAGGAAGAGGTGCTGTGTGTCTTAAAAAGTATTAAGCTACTTAAGTCCCTGATGGGATCTATCCCAGAATATTCAGGGAGGTAAGCGAACAAACTGTTGGAGCATTGACAGACATTTTTATGTCCTCTTTGGCCACAGGCGAAGTCCCAGGGAACTGGAGAATACTTAATGTTGTCCCACTATTTAAGAAGGGTGGCAGGGATAATCTTGGTAATTACAGGCCTGGGAGTCTCACGTTGGTGGTACGGAAATTATTGGAAAAGATTCTCAGGGACAAAAATCCATATGCATTTAGAAGCAAACGGACTTATTAGCGATACACAGCATGGTTTCGTGCCTCACTAACTTGATAGAGTTTTTTGAGGTGACAAAGATGACTGATGAGGGAAAAGTGGTTGATGTTGTCTATATGGACTTCAGTAAAGCCTTTGACAAGGTCCCTCATGGCAGACTGGTACAAAAGGTGAAGTCACATGATTTCAAGGGTGAGCTGGCAAGATTGATAGAGAACCGGTTAAGTTATAGGAAACAGAGGGTAGTGGTTCTTTACTCAGAGAGTAGTAAGGGCGTGGAATGCCCTGCCTGCAAAAGTAGTAGACTTGCCAACTTTAAGGGCATTTAAATGGTCATTGGATAAACGTATGGATGATAATGGAATAGTTTAGGTTAGATGGGCTTCAGATTGGTTTCACAGGTCGGCGCAACATCGAGGGCCGAAGGGCCTGTGCTGCGCATGAATGTTCTATGTTCTATGTTCTGTGGTGGAAGGATGCTTTTCAGAATGGAGGGCTGTGACTAGTGGTGTTCCACAGGGATCAGTGCTGGGACCTCTGCTGTTCATGATCTAAATAAATGATTTGGAGGAAAACATACCTGGTCTAATTAGTAAGTTTGCAGACGATACAAAGATTGGTGGATTTGCAGTTAGTGAGGAGCATTTTCAGAGGATACTGCAGGATATAGATCAGTTAGAAGCATGGGCAGAGAAATGGCATATGGAGTTTAATCCAGACAAATGTGATGTATTTTGGAAGATCAAGTACAGGTGGAAATTATACAGCAAATGGCAGAACCCTTAGGAGTATTGACATCTGGATGGATCTGGGTGTTCAGGTCCTCAGTGATGAGGATGTGGCACTCATTACCACAGGGAGTGACTGATGTGACCAGTATACGTGTATTCAAGTGGAAGCTAGACAAACAGATCAGAGACAGAGGGTTATGATGATGGATTTAAATGTGGAAAGATGGGTGAGCTGTACAACAAAATGGTCCGTTTCTCTGCCTTATATCCCATGCAATTACAGCAAACTTTGTTTTAACTGGCACTTTATGAATCAGCAAAAATTAAAAACCTCAAATACTGGAAGTTTACTGTATTATCAATGATCTCTGAGATGTGAGAGTAACTAATTGATTGTGCAAGTGAGAAGGATCTCTGCTGTTAAGTGATTTATGCTGTAAATAAGGTATAACAGTGATGTGTATACCTCCTGGATTACGCCTCTATTACTTAGCATGTGTTTTTACATTAAGTGGAACCCTTGATCAACTGGAATATTTGATCAACCAGTACACTCTTGATCCCATTGGTATTGGTTAATAAAAAGTTTGCTGTACCACATGAGGCACTGAGATTAAACATGATTTCATGCAAAGAAAATTCAAGCAAAAGTAGCAAAGGAACATAAAATGCACGAATTACGGTTGAGCAGAGATGGGGGAATGGGGCACAGAACAGATGACAGGTCTCTTCTTTACTGGATTATGGCTTTGCACTTTTATCATAAATCTTATGAGTGGCTGCTTAACACTTTTTAAGTTGATAACAGAAGTTGTGGTATGAGATGGAAACCTGTAGTGGAATAATTTATGTGGGCTATTGGAGTGGACTAGTGGACTAGTGGGCCAAGCAGCCTTCTCCGACTTTGGATTTCTGATGTTCTTAAAGTCTTTCATTCACAATTTTGCAAAGGTCTCGTGAGCAGTGGAAACTGCAATATGAGCTGCACATGTTGACAGCCAAACAGAACGCTACAATAATTTGGTGCCTGGCAATCTTGGTTTGGAGTGGGGTGGAGTGCATGGAAAGAGAGAAGGAATCTGTGAAATTTAAACATTAACATAAAAGTAAATAAAAATCACAGACAGGATGGGGGGTGATGTAGTGTTGTTAAGACTTTGCTTTTTCTGATGTGGAGGGGGAAGGTATGTATGAGTCCAGCAGTGGGCAGCGCTGCCAGACAGGTCAGCTATGGAGGCCCAACTAACCTTAATGCCAGGGCTTAGCATAAATACAACTCAAACTTCTGTGCAACAGCCAGCTAAATTCACAAAAGTTGACAAGTGTGAGCAAGAATTTCTCTCACAGGAGGCACAATCAATGAACTGTAGAATTGATCGCCTGCGGTCAGCGGAAACAAGGGTTTGAAAGTAATCAAGATGGATTTGGGGAGAAATGGGAATTTGCTCATAATACAAATTGGGCAAGTTGAAAATTCCCTTGCAATAAGCAATCAGGGATGGTTGTGAATTCCTTCCTGTAAAGTGACTGGCAACGACTCTAGCTTCTCCTGGTTCAAAAAGAGGGAAACTGTGGATGATGTGAGACTCTGCCATACTGATACTAACACGGTCACTTTTGCAATTGCATTTTGAGTAGGAGCCTTGTTGATGTCACTGAACTATCTCCATTTATACTAAACCACTCGGAGTAGAGCTGCTTGTAGGTACAATTTTCTAATCCTTTACCTGACCTGACCTACAGTTTCTGCTGGAAATGGCGTTTAAATTTTGACCTCAGGAGATGTGAATGGAATCAAAAATCTACCCAAAATGCTTCCAAATTCTGTTCATTTGCATGACCAACCGCTTTATATACAGCATATATTCAAAGTTTCACCTGTATGAATTTACATCACATCTGAGAAAACATATAGGATTTTGAGAAGACTGTATATGGTGAAGACAAAGATGAATTTCCCTCATAGGGGAAACTAAAACAAGGGGCATCGTTTAAGAGTAAGAGGTCTTCACTCTAAGACAGAGAAGAAAATTCCTTTCTCTGTGGGGCATTAGAGTTTGGAATTCTTAATTATATTAAAGGCTGAGTTGGATAGATTTTGATAGACAAGGGAGTCAAAGGGCATGGAGAAAGAGCTTGAAGGGCCAAGTGGTCTACTGCAGCAACAAAACCAGAAATTGCTGGAAAAGCTCAGCAGGTAGGGCAGCATCTGTGGAGAGAAATCAGAGTTAATGTTTTAGGTTGAGTTGAGCTTTTTGTCTCTGATTTGCAGCATCCACAGTTCTTTCGGTTTTAGCCCATTGCAGCATCTGGGTTCCATGTTCTGAGGTGCCGAACTAACTGAGGTTGTATATTTTCTGATCACAAATCAGCAATTAGATAATAATGGTATAGATAGAAGATTAATCATTTGGAATGTCTATTGCAAAAAAGAATCACTTATGAAATAACACGCTTACTAATATTACTTCAGCAGTTTCTGAATAACACCATATAATCACTCACTGTTTTCAGCTTTCAACATTCCAAAATAATCAATAACAATTGACTTGAATAGTTTTGTACGTACACATTCATCAGCTGTACAAGCAATAAGGAAACACGAAATACAGAAATTTGTCACATGAGAGTTTGGAAAATATTTCTGAATTAAAACTGATATCCCAGCATTATCCAAATTGTAATAATGACACCTTTGGGAATAAATATTATAACAAATTACAAGTTGGGTTAAATTCTGGGAACGTTTTATTACTTCAGTAGAAATGTGCCTGAAAGTTGGTTTCAAAATCTTATTGTCTCTTTTAAGGAAATCATCTTTATATCTTCTTAGTTAAAGGGTGCAAAATTTGTAGCTCATAAATTTACAAAAAAATTCTTACGTGGCATAATTCCCTGGTCCACCAGCTGCTCTCGTGTCCTTCTCTGCTGCAGCTTTAATTGCAGTACTGCAGGGGGAGGAAGGAAAAACAGAACAATTAATACAGATAAAGTGACCTGTGACAACATACATACAACATATCAATGGTACGGCAAATGGCAAGTTGAATGATTTCCATTTCTCTAAATAACTTACATAGGGACTATTCTCTGATGATGATTAATCTGACCTTGTTAAACAAGTCACTACAATGTGTTGGAGTGGTAGCCTCCATTTATAACAATCAGTGGAGTTTCTATTGTATCAATCAGATTACAGATTCAATATCCCTAACATAGCATTCTGTTTCAGCACTGGAAAGAATATCATAGCCTTTTTGGTTCCGACAACCTATGTGCGCAAGGCAAGGATGCCACACAATTCAGAGACAAAGCTGACTTTTTTTTTAAAAAATACACAGTTGACTGTTACCAGTTTCGCTGGATATAGTTCAGCTGCCATTTAGAGTTTCAATTTAACATATCATCTAATTCAGCAGCACTCCTTCAGCATGCTGTGATAGCTTATCTTCTGTGTATCAGTCTCCAGTCTCAGACTTCAACTGATAGCCTTCTGACTCGAGTACTACTAAGTGCCAAAAATCTTGGTTAAAAAATCCAATGGCACTACAAATGACACAGATTTACTGGCAATTAAAGTGCTCAATAATGTTTGTATTGTTAAAGAGGCAACTTAAATCATGGCTCTGTGGTGAATTCTCATGATTGTGAACAGAAGGATTTTGTAATTGGCTAATTGAAAGATCTTGTTTATGAGCAACAATGCAGTGATGGTTGCTGAAATAATATTTGCAGTGTTGTGTGTAATTTTCTGAAAAGCATGAAACACAACGGTTAAGAGTTTGAATGGTAAACCTCTTATACTTTGTTCATACATAAAAAGAAGCACACTTAAAACTGCTCCTCATGGGTTTAACTTTGTATAGTCAGTCTGCTGGCATGGTATCAGTTGTGGTCTTGCCCACTGGAGCCATCCAAGATCATTTGGATAGACTCACTGCCATCTAACAGGAACAAAAACAGA